CATGTCCTGCTCCCTGTTCCCTGCACACAGCCCATGTCCTGCTCCCTCCCCTCTGCACCCCCTCAGCAGGTTCTCTCTTTTCAGGCCGACTCAACTGGTGGTCCACAGTGTGCACCAGCTGCAAGCGCCTGCTGCCCCTGGCCACGACTGGAGATGGGAACTGCCTCCTGCACGCTGCCTCTCTGGGTAAGGGGGAGTCTGCACCTGAACCCTGCTGCCAAAAACACTGCCTGACTGCTTCCCTCCATCCCCAGCCCAGGCTCACAAACACGGGAGGTGCAAAGACCTGCCCTAAAAGTCTGGTTTGGAGCAATATATTCTTCAAATTTCACTGAAGTTTTGTTTCCCTCCAGCATGCCTAAAGCAGGGGAATAAAAGTTTTATTAGGTTAGAAAAGAAGGATAACTGGAACAGTATTAAAAAACACCAGTGATTTGCATTTTCCTTATATTTTCCTGTTCCCAGCCTAACAGCTCTGGAACAGGCAAATTCCAGGTGCTTTTGCGGGATTGTCCTCATTGTGCACGAGGAATTGCAGTCATTCTCTTGATTTTGTTAAACAGTTCTCTTGCTGTGTTCAAGAATGCAATGTCAAGCTATTATCTCTCTTAGTTCCTTGTAGAGTTTCAGCATTTGGGGTGAATTAATTTCCAAATGATTAATTAATTGTTAATACAAGATCTTTGAAGCTTGTCTGCAAATCGGTAGAAACCTGTGAAGCTGAAAGTCTTTGATATGCTTTCTCTATCCCAACCTATTATGAGGAAACTTATTTTTTGTTGCAGTTGTTAAAATCTTCCACCAGCAGAACTCTAAGAGGTGACTTTTTAAATAAAAACACTGGGATTTTTAATATTTTGAAGAGACTCTTCTTGTTGAAAGAAGTAATAAGAAAAGAGTTTTTGCTGTTCCCAAGTATCCTTTTATCTTTGTTCACTTCATTTTTAATTAGGAGGAATTGTATGTTATTTACAGCAAATGTTTGGAGTGTTTGGACCTGAGAAGAGCAGCTGACAAAATGGTCACTGAAACGTGGCTGTCCATGGGCCCATGTCCTGGGGAGAGCTCTGCTCTCTTTTGGTGTAGGGTTGCTATTCCCAACTACATACAGATGTTTTATTATCTTAAAATGAGATTAAAAGCCTGTGGCTGGTCATATTTTTAGACTTTCTATCATCTTGAATGCTCGTCTCTTCACTTGGGTGTTGAAGCCAGAGGGATTTGCCCTCGTGCTGTGTGAGAGTTGGAGGCCTTTGGGTGTTGGTGTCAGCTGTGGTTCCCAGCAGTGCCTGCAGTGCTCACCAACATTCCTGTGCCTGCAAACCCTGTTGGCAACTGCAGCCAAAACCAACCTGTGCATTGAATATTCTATGGCTTGCAGCAAAGTTGAAGTTGCCTGCAAGCAAACCCTGAAACAACTCAAGTCCTTAGTCATTCCTTAATCACAGTGTAACATTTGTCAGAATCCCTCTTGTTGTTCGTGAGCACATTTATACTGACTGGTTCTTTTGGAAACCTTAAAAATGGTGAGAGAATTATTTGCTGAGGAGAATGTTAAATTGTATGTCAGCTGTTTGTGTTTCACTGCAGCTTATTTCAAACTGAATGTCCTCTTGTGCTGCTTCAGGGATGTGGGGATTCCACGACCGGGACCTGGTGTTACGGAAAGCCCTCTACACCATGATGAGAAGTGGAGCTGAGAGGGAAGCACTGAAAAGGAGATGGAGATGGCAGCAGACCCAGCAGAACAAGGAGGTCTGTATGGCCTGAAGACAGTCTTGGTAATACCATTTAGGGTTAAAAGCATTCTTCTGGAGTTTGGTGTGAAGGTTTCCATTGCTATCAAATTCTTTGGCCTTCCATATTGCACAGAGAAAGAGATGCTTCTACTTAGAATTTTCAGAGTGTGTTTGTAGCTTTGTGGACATATCTATGCACAGTTTTGTCCCTAAAAAGGTCTAAGATAATTTTAGGACCTGTAGAAAATTTGGGACTGCAAAACCAAATGTATAATTTAGGTGTCACAAGTGTTATAAAATGAGGGCATGAAATCCACAAGAAAGAGAAACCCATTTTGGGAAAGATTTCCCAGAATGGAGAATTGGGATTCTTAGAGCTGCAACCAAATATGGTTTGGATGTTTCCTAACTAAAATAATTTGGTAGATTTGGTTTGACTATTGATTGAAAGCTGTACCTCAACATGTTATTCTCTGAAGATGTCTGTGCCTAAACAGTGGCTAGAAAAGCCCATTTCAGGAGTAATCCTGGATGCAAACAAGTGAATATGCTTCAGAGTTTGTGGCATATTTGTAATCTGGTTTTGTTGGCAGCAGTCAGTGAGAACACAGCTGAGCTGTGACTGACTCAGCTCTTTCAGGCTACTTGAAAAAACAGGGATACAGAAGCACTTTTATACCATTTTTGCTCTTGAACAGAAGGAAAAAGCATCACCTGTCTGCCCAGGAGAGCATTCATAGTAGTTCCAGATACTGGGAAGGAAGCAAACGTCCAGAAATGGGCAGTAAAGCACGTTAACCATGGTTACAAGGAATTCTGTGAGAATAAGTGCCTCTCAGGAGTGGAGCACTGCATTAGCAGCAGGACCCACATCTAGAAATATAATCCACTATGCAGTTAGTTGAGATCTTTTTTAAGAAGTTAACATTCTTTCACCTGAATAGAAATGTTGAACTATTATTGGTCCAAGAAATTAAACCGTGTCCTGTGTGAGACACAAATCAGTCAGTGCTCAAGGCTGCTGCAGGATGTGTGCAGGATGTGTGCCAGCAGGATGTAAAGCCCTTCCCTCTCTCCCACAGTCAGGGCTGGTGTACACGGAGGAGGAGTGGGAGCGGGAGTGGAACGAGCTGCTCAAACTGGCGTCGAGTGAGCCCCGGACACACTTCAGCAAGAACGGAGGCACCGGAGGGGGGTGAGTGCAGAGCAGGGCGGGGCCTTGGAGGGTTTGTTCTCAGCAGGAAAACGATACAGTCCAACTGAATGAAGGTGTTTACAGCACCATCAAACGGCCTTTTGGCTGCTGTGCTTTTTTTAGCCTGCTAGAATGTAATTATCTGAATATCCCATTATAATATTTAGCATTTTCATTATGTTTTCTTGTGCAGTTACCACGCTAACTTGAGGTCACTTTGTATCCAAGAGCCTGGATTTAATAAATCCTAATTTCTTTGTTTCTGGAACAAGCATGTTGTCAGTCTCATTTAGCTTCAAGGAGATGAAGTGCCTCATCTCACTGAAGATGTGCAGCTTTCTGTTTGGGGAATGCTCAGCAGGAAGGTGGCCCCTGCTTGGGTATTTTTACTAGGACATAGAATGACAGAATAACATCACACCCTCTAATAGCATTCTGCAAGAAAATAGTTTGTGCCTGGATATCACCTCTTGTGTACTTGATCACAGCCATCCTCTCATATTCATACATTTATTTCAGTGCTTTTTTGCTTTGCAGTTCAAACACAAAATCTTCAATTTGTTTCTACTTTAAAATGCTGTTAACCCTAAACATACAGGAGGGGGAAAAAGTCGTATTTCTGGTATTAGAGCTAAAGATTAAATATTTGGATGCAGTATCTTTTTAAAGAGAAGGTAGAATATCGAGTTATAGTTTGTAGTCTCATGAAACCATTCTGAAAAATCAATATGCTACTTCAGTCTTTGTACAGTTATTAAAAAGCTTAACTAAAAATTGTGGTAATTCATATTGCACCAGTAGGAACAGTTGCACTTTCTTTGACTATTCAAACTCCTGTTAAACCCACGTAACATCCACAGTGTCCTCAAATGCAAGAAGTATTTCAGGACTGTTTATTTAACATTGAACTGATTCCCTGTCATCCCAGTACAGTTTGATGTTGCTGGAAGGTTCTGCAGAGGGTTTGTCTGTATTTCCCAGTTTCCAGGCTGTTTATCCACACAGATTCCATGGGCAGGCTGATTGCAGCTGCTCTGATTGCACTCTGCAGAGCTCCAGTGTTTGTTACTACCCAGTGCTACCAGAAAGGCCAGGGAGGGGGGTGTTTTCTTGAAGACCAGCTCAGTCTGGGTGTTTAATCTTTCTATGATACTCAATTAGTAGCATTTCAGTCAATGAGCTTATCAGAACCAGACAAACTGATGGTCTCAGGCAAAAACCCAGCACTGTCTCCTGCCTTGCATTTAGTTCAGATGTTGAGAAGCTCTTGGAAAAATACAGAAATATATTTGTGAAAAAGTTTGGGATGAAACAGTATCTACAACACTTAAATACCCCTGATCCACATACAGAATCTTCTTTAAATAATGTGATGTGATAAACCATCCCTCACTTTCAGTGCAGTTCTTTCCAACAACAGGATTATTGATCAGCCTTAAGAATGCAGAAGCTTTAGTTTTTGTGTCTAGTGTTTATCACTAAAAATATTTAGTGTTTGTTTACTTGGTGCATAATTTTCTTTAGCTACTGTTTCCCCTGCAGAAAATTCCATGTGGTGATAAGTAAATTGACAGAAGAAGGCAGACAACACAGTGAGAGTAACAAAGTCCACAGATGTTCTCTGGGCTGTGAAAGAATATATTTTCCTTTTGACTCTATTGTGTTAAAGACAGGTAATTCTACAAATGCAGGAGGACATTGCTTAGAAAATTGTCAGCCATAATGTGTCTCATTTTCTTCTGTTTTGAAGCTAAAAAAAGAGATTTATTTTCATTTTAGTCTCTAGTTTGTTTCCTGTCTTTGTAGGTATTTTCCTGTTGATACACTTCAGTGTTCTAATGCAGATCAGTTTGTATTTCTATTAAATTTGGTCATTCAGCCCCAGTTTTCTCTGGCCTTATTCTATCTGCTTCATTATCTATGTTTCACATGCATAGTACCTGCTAGTCAGAGATGCCCTCAAATGTTGCATTTGCCAGGCATCAACCATCTTTACCTTCAGTTCCCAGGTACTTGCACAGGGGGTAGTACTATTACATAAAGAAGCAATTTAAGTTGGGTTTAATGTTCTCATCATGGCTTGCATTTATCTTTTTTGCAAATCTAAATAAAGTAAGTATAAATGGGCAACAGTTAATTTTTCCTGTGAACACTGAAAGAGGAATCAGGCAAGAAACAGCCCATTAAACATGTGAATGTGTATTTCTCCTTACATTCATTTCAAAGACAGAATGAACGTGGCAGAATGAATTACTTTCTCAGTTTAATGATCCCATGTTCAAAGTAGGGCCTTTGACAAGGAAAAGGAATATCAAAATAGTATTTTTGGGGAGGGGTATATTATGTCTTCTTGTTAGGTGCTATATTAAGAAAACTTGCCCATCAGTCTTTGAACTGTAGATGAGATGAATTTTCCTTTGGTGTCAGAATTAGCTACAGCATCAGAAGTTGTATCTGCTTCAAAAGAATTCAGTGACAAAGCTGAGTCTGGAATTGTGCTTCCTCATTCACCTGCAATCTCCTTTTAGTTATTTTTCAGAGTCAACTACGTGCAGAGGAGATGAGTTGTCTCTAAATCTCCCAGGATCCCTCCTTTGAGAGCACTCTCGTTCTGAGGCTGGGAAGTTGGAAAGAAAGAAAAAGGGAACACAGGAAAAGCTGGTTCATAAGTTCTCATTTCCAACATGTAAAATCCTCCAAGCACTAAAGCAGACCAAACCAATTCATTATGAAGCAGATTCTTGTTTTGAAACAGATTTGCACATCTTTCTGTAAATGTAAAAAATGAATTCTAGTTTAACATAATTGCTTCATTTATCTCCATTTACCAGCAAAGCCAGGGGTACTGAATTGAAGCAACTGCTTTGAAAAAAGGAAAATGTCTTGTACCCTGTTTTGTGATGAGAACCTAACTGTTGCCATCCTGCTTAAGAGAAAATTCCAGCTCCCTCCTTCCCTGTGCAGCCTTGTGCCAGTCAGAGCCAGTTGCTGGATTGAACAGCACTGTTGTTACTCACTTGTTGCAAACCTGGGTGTTGTGTCGTGGGCTGAGCTAGTGCAGGTTTGGGAAGCATGAACTGTCACCTGTAGCCTGTCTCTGTGCTGCTGATATTATCTTATTAATCAAATCAAGGGATTTTAAATGGGGAAGAAGGGAGAGAATACTGCTGTAATCCTTCTGTGTGTTGTTGGAGTTGTATTTAAGGCAGAAACCCCAAACATTTGGACAGGAAATACCTCTCAGATGCAGGTGTTCTCTGAGGTTTTGGACTTGGTGAGGTATTGAGAACATACAGTTCTTCATACACAACTACTGAAGCCATCCAAGGCCCTCATCCTATAGAGAATTTAGTTTAGACCATTTAACAAAGAAATGCCTTTAAAATGATTTTTATCTATCTGGTGTCTGTTATAGGAGTAATATTTCTTTTGAACTGTCCAGTATATGCAACAATTACAGGGTGCAGATAGAAAATGGTTCACTATAACAGTGTATCTTTTGATTATTAGCTGAAGTTTGTAATGGCTGACACCTCTTTTCATCTGGCCTATTTGCTGTTCATGTCACTTGTAGTGAAGCCAAACACAGCCTGGAAATATTCAAACTGCCCAGTGATTCAGATATGGGACTCAAAGCATTCACGTTCTGTGTCTCCTTTAGTCAATGCAAAATACCTTTTTTTTTTTTTCCTGAAGAATGAAAGACTGTCCCAGGGCTGTGCCATTTTCTGTGTCTGAGTTGAAGCTCAGTGCTGAACACCTGTAAGGAGATAACAGAGAGGCTCCTCCCCTACAGCAGGAATTTGGACTTGCTGTTGAGCTGCAGCTGTGCTTTATGTTGGTTTTTATTTGGGGATTGTTAAGCAGGAAAAGAAGAGGTGTCAGAAATGAAATGGTGGCAAATAGAGATGTAAACTCAGATGTCATTCTGATCTCATGCTTCTAACAAACCTCCAGGCTGGAGAGCTTTACACTTGCCATGTTGCCTCAGTGCCTCTCACTGTCTGTGGGCATTGCTCTCGTGCTCTGCATGAATCCAAAACTCAGCTTAAACCTGGAACAACCATTTCCAGTCTGTTGGACTCACTGAGAACCTGGAGGCTCTGGGTGGGGGAGAAGAGCAAGGTGACCATAGGGAGCTGTTTAGAAGGAAATCCAAGGACAGGAAAACAGATCTTTCTCAGAGTTTCCAGGCAGCAGAGGAACAGCCAGCACACAGCCAGGTGGAACAGCAGGGGAGGTGACTTTCCCAGTCCAGCTTTTTGGAAAAGGTTTTCTTGCTCTGCTGGCTGCAGTACAAATTAGATTTTCCATAGGAGAGAGAGTCTCTCTGGAGTGCTGAGTAGGTGTCCACTGTGTTTGAACTGCAGGTATCAGTGGTCCTGTAGCTCAGACTGAGATTTTTATTTTTATCTGTTTGGGGTTTTTTCCTGTTAATGTGCTCTTATAATCAAGATAAATTATTTAGTCAGAGTGCTGTGGTTGAGCAGGATTGTGCAATGCAGATCTGTGTGCAGGTGGATTTCATTATTAAAGTTAGCTTTAAATGAACAGAGGAATTAATTTCAGTTTCCTAAATTTTCTTTGCTTCCACGTTATATTGACAAAATTATTTTGTCCACAATTTTCATGGCCATGTAGCTTGCATAAATAAAGATCCATGAGAAAAAGTGGAATGATAAGTGGATCAAAGGATGTGGTAGGTTGCCATGGACACTTGTTAATGATGATTTTTTTCATTCTCATTAATCTTTAGCAAAATTCATACTGAATCCTCAGCAGTGCCACTGAAATAATACAAAACAGCCCACATGAATCACTGGCACTGATGATACAGAACTGGACACTGGAAAGGTTTCCCAGAGGGGCTGTGAAGGGACTCAAAGGTGTCTGGACATGGCCTGGGGCAGCTCTGGGTGGCCCTGCTGGAGCAGGGCTTGGACAAGGGACCTCCAGAGCTCCCTCAACACCTCAGCCACTCTGACCCTGGGACAGGGAGTGATGGAACATGATGTGTAACAGAAGAGAAGGGGTTTGAAAACTGTGAATTTGGTCATAGCTAGTGAATGAAGCAACTTGATGTGATATTGGAGAGTAAAGATGCCCAGTGGAATTTTGGAGTTTGTGCAGTTGGGCATGGCCCCAGCTGAGCAAAGGGACAGAGATCCTTCTGAGACAGCTGCATCTGGAATGTGCCTTCCAATTCTAGGAGCCTCATCAACTGGGAGATGAGGAATAATTAGAGGATTTGAAAAAGAAATTAGGACTGATAGTCAGGAAATACTAATTGAGAAAATAGCTGGAAATCTTTCTGGCACATTGTCTTGCCAAGAACAGGATTCCCCTGACTGCCCTTTGGCTAAAAAATTGCTCTGAGGGTGACATAGGACTGCAAATGCTGGAAAGCTGTCACAGCCAACCATGGAGAAGAGTTCAGTGAGGAATATGGGAAGAAATCACAAAATGGGGAATTTAGTTTGAACATCAGGGAAAATTTCCTGATGAGTTTGGGTAATGGGAGGAGGGATATGGGGAAGGAGAGGTGTCTCACTGCTTGATCAGTGAATGTCTCCTGCATCAGCCTCCCTGACAGCAGGTGAAATTCAGCTCATTGGAAAAGCTAATAGGACAGTGAATCTCCAGTTCCTTACACAGGTAACCCCTCCCCATCTTAAAAGAAAAGGTTTTGTAACAATAAAAAAAAAAAGCTGACAACTTTGTCAGTTAAATTCCTCCTGCTCAAATTGATATCAGTGTTTCTTACATTGCCAAGGTAAACTCACCTGAACTAGAAGGACACTGTAGGATCTGTGTGCCAAGGGTGTCACGTGAAATTATGATTTCTGTGACAAAAGTAGATTTACTCCAACAGCTTGGCTAAGAATCCCCTTTTCTATTCCTGCTAGGCTACCAAACAATATCAGACAGGAATTAATTTTACTGACTACTGAACTAGCATGGAGTCTGCAAGTGAAAACATTTCCTCTGTTGCTATTATTTTATTTCCAAAAATGCATTCTCCTATTTCTTATGGTACCTATTTCAATAATTGGAATATGTGTTTCAGAAGAGTGGGATATAAGTGACAATGAAGGATGAACAGCTGCTGGGATGTGCTGATTCACTGAAGTTCCAGTGGTTGGTTCAAGTTGGCTCAAAACAGTCTCAATGCTGTGTCTTCCAGGGTGGATAATGCAGAAGACCCAGTGTATGAGAGCCTGGAAGAGTTCCATGTTTTTGTCTTAGCCCACATTTTGAGAAGACCTATTGTTGTAGTAGCAGACACGATGTTACGAGACTCAGGGGGAGAAGGTAAGAGCTTGGTTGGACATTTCCACTCCTCTGTAAATGGAATCAATCCTAAACTGCCACACACAACAGACCCAGCTGGCACACATCTGGGTGTTTATGGGAGAGTTGCTGCCTTTTTCTAAAGAAAAAAACCAGAAAGCACAGAATGATGCTCAATCCATTTCTGTTAGATAAAAGTAAAAACTACAGGATAATCATGTAAGTCCTGATGAAAATCTGTTTATCCTAGATATTGGCTATTAACTTAACAACCATCACATTACAGAACACAATGCATTTGTGATTGGTCTAGGTTAACAAGGTTCTAATTTTGCTGTGTTATTTTGGTGTCCCTTAAAACCCTGCAGAAATCAATCTAATCTGACTTTGAAAAATTGAATTTTGAATGTGTGCATCTTGGAATTTTGGTTTTAATGACTCCCTTGCAGATTATCATTCAGAAGTTTCCAGAATGTTTTATTCAGTTTGCACATGTGAGCACACAAATGTTGGAGCCAGCTGGACACTGTCTGAGCAGGACTTGAAGGATTAAATTCACTTCACTCACTTTCTACAATGAACTAACAGAATACTAGTTCATGAGAGTGTGTTGCTTAACTAAAGAAGGGTGTTTGGTTGATTAAAGGAAGATGTTAAACAGGTGATGGAGTTCACAGGAATTTACTTCCACAGGAAAATGCTGGGTAATTTCAGTTTCCATTCAAGTTATGAACTACAAGTAATGGCTGTAGGTGATTCTGTAAGTTATGGAAAAACACCTGGAAGACAATGCAGCCACTGATCACAGCCAGCGTGGGCTCACAAGGGGAACTCCTTTTGGAAATATTTCAGCAATAAAGATTTGTATTTTTGTAGCAAAAGGAAAAATAATTGGTCAGAAGCAAACACGTTGAGAGAATTTTCCTGCCCAAACTTGCTGTTCCCATAATTATATATAGAAACAAGTGTAGAATCTTCCAAAGCAAGATTTTTTCCCCTACAGATGGAGCATCCCATTCATCTACATGGAGAATTTTTTGAGTCCTTCCTTAACATTACCATGCACACATACCTCTGCACATTCACAGATATATAATGTGTGGCCTATAAACATGTTTGCAAGGCACGAGCAGAGCCTGTTGCCAAAAGAACTTAGTGTATTTACTGATGATTATTAGAAAATACCCTTCTCCTTACAAGTCTTACAGGAAGGTACAGATCTGCATACCTGTGTGAGTCATTGAGATTTTGTTATAAGACCTTAATAACTTTACTAGTAAACAATGAAAGCAAGGAAAAATATGTTAAGAGCAGAAGGTTTTCATTATTGTTTGTAGTGTATTTACTGACATTTTATAATTAAATTTTACCTGTTATGACTGTTTCCTGCACTGATTGCTGTGCTTTAGTCTGCTCTCCTGGAGCTCTGAAAATATTGCAGCACAATTGTTACAATTATTGTCTGTTCTTAAAAGATCCCCTTTTTCTTTGCAGCATTTGCACCGATACCATTTGGAGGAATTTATTTGCCACTTGAAGTTCTCCCAAACAGATGCCATTGCTCACCTCTTGTGCTGGCCTATGATCAGGCCCATTTCTCTGCTCTTGTTTCCATGGAACAAAAAGACCAACAGAGAGAACAAGGTATGCTATAAACACAGTAACACTAGGATATATGTTGAATACAATGCACAAAGTACCTTCTTCGACCTGTAGGTGTATTTAGCTATCAGAAAGGAAACAATATTCACTAAATTTTATTGCTGCATGCTTAGGAGTAGTCTAATCACAAGCCTGGGAGCCAAGAACTCAACAGTCCTAATCCATGTGCTGTCACTGCCTGTCTTTGGCACTCACACTGTTTCTGTCAGTCAGTTCCATGTATGTACATAAATGTACAGGTATAACCACAGTTACCTGCTGTGCTCTGGGTTCTTGAAGACCTTTGTTAGTTTGGGTTAGTAAAGTGTTTAGAAGCTTAAGTGTGAGTCAGATTACTATTAAAAACTCATGTAATGGAAAAAATATCTCTCTTCTAGTGTGCTAAATGCACTTCTCTCATTTAAAAACATTTAGGTGAAATGTTTTTACCTTGCTGTCTTCTGTTCTGCTTTGGAACAGTGACAACAAAGTCTGACCAGATACTTCTGTGTCAAGTTGGAGCTTCCTGGACATGGGAATGGGAATGACAAGAGCTTCAGGACTGGATCTGTTCTTGCATTAGTAGCCCAGGAGCTGGCTATAAGTACCCTCATTTGCTAGAGCTGTTTGCTTAATAATAGAAAGCTGTGAGATGAACTTCTATCTGTCTTTGTTCCTTTTGTGGGGAAGGGAAAAGTGTTTTGCCAAAAACATGGTGAGGCTTTAGAAAAATTTCTATTAGGGAAAAGGGGGACTTTTGCTTTTAGTTACGAGTCTTATTTTTTCCTGGTGATACTTCCAAGGTGTTTTAAATCCCTTATGAATGCATATAGCTGTAAAGTAAATGGGAATGTGTGCTGGTTGTTGAGATCTCCTGAGTGAATTCCACTCCATCCTCCTTCCTAGGGAGGTCTAGAGGCACCTAAATGTCCATCCTTTGATTCCCTAACCCTGTGTGCATTCCATCTGATTTTGGATGTGCTAGGCATTGCCCATGCTTGAGACAGTCAGCAGTGCTGCAGCTCTGCAAGGCAGAGAGGAAGGTGTTCACTAAAATGATGAGAAGGAGCAAGAAAGGAGCTGTTGAACAGCAGATTTTGCTGTAGTGTCTTCACACAAGAATCTGACACCAGGTTTGTCATCCCCTTGGGAGGAGCAGAGAGCTTTCACATGAGCTGTGTGAGATGGGAAGCTACACCAAGGATTGCAGGTGGTATTGGCAACCTTGTGCTGGTCAAGAGGAGACTGAGTCATAAGACTGAAATGGAGAAAAAGGTTGATCTAGATGTCAGATACTCAAGATGTCAGATATTCGATGGGAAAAATCAGTCCAGTCCAGCTGTTCAGCCTCCACTGGCACGGAACTGTTTCAGGGATTTGTAGGCAGGTACATGGCAATATCTCTGGCCTTGGGACATTGGAGCTGCCTTCCAGCCCTCAGGCAGTAGAAGAACAACCCTTAGGAAATGCTTTTCACATAGAAAAATCCTGTGGTATGATGTGAAACACCTTCTGAGAAATGAAAGTCTGAAAAGGTAAATCTATCCCAGTTCAATGCAAAAATGTGATATGAACGAAGCTGGAGTTTTGGAGAGCCTTTAAGGACATGGTCTCACTGTTGATGGTTGCTGATGATACACTGTAAAGTTGTCTGGTGGAGTTGCCAGTGTCCATTTCTTCCTTTCTAACAACTGGGACCAGAATGATATCAGCAGACTGACAGAAACCTCATTTATCTCGGGCACATCTGTCTGCCTTCATACCAGGCTTCATGATCACAGGTCTTACAAGAGCCTCTGTGTGTAAATAACTGGATACACAGAACTGAACTCTCTCTGCAATAACTTTGCAGTCAGGGGAACTGCCATCCACCAAAGCTTTTGCTGTTGTTGTGTCCTCCAAGGGATGGGATTGACAAAAGGTAGTGAGGGACACTGCTGTTCAGCTGCTCTGACCCTGCCTCTCAGTGTCTGCTCCTCAGTGATACATCTCGGTGTCACCTACTGAACCATAATTCTAATCTTACAAGCCATATATTCCTCTTAGTCACACACTGCAAGATCTTGGGTTTGATAACGAGATTATATATTTGATTTCACCCACAAGTGCTAGGGAAAACTGTCTTTCTGTAGGATTTTCCTACACCTGTATTGCCACGGGAAAGGTGCTGGGAGAGAAAACCCTACCAAATATCCAGCACAGCAGCAGAAACATTAAATACTGGTTTTCATGTATAAGTTCATCCAGGTTAATTACAAGGGTCAATGAATCAAAGTAGTATTTGTTTTGTACGACCCAGTTGTACATGTCTTACTGCAGGGCCTTGAATACCCAGGCTCCAGTTCTGTGGAGCAGCAGAGAGCATTTGGCATTTATTCTGGGATGAAGGGAATGCTTTAGCTTTCAGCTGCCAGGCTGGTTGCTGTTGGAGACCACAGCAACCACAGTATTCCTGTTGTTCTCCCTGCTGTGGCAGGAAGTAGGTTGGCACAAGGATGCTCCAGCAGTGCTGGGTTTGTACCTTGTCAGCAGAGCGATGCTCTGGCACACGGGGGCAGAGCCACGGCTGTGAAATGTGCCAGTTACAGTGGCACAGGTTCAAAACCAAACAGATTTGGAACTATCAGAATGCAGCTGAGAGCTCAGAGCTCCACCTTCTTAAAAGGAGCCTCTTGGTGAGCCCCACCATTTGTAACCTGGAGCATTCCTGCTCTGTGTAACCAGCATCAGGAGCAGCCTCTGGAGCTGCCTGAGCTACTGCATGGACAGTCACACGTGTTTCAGCTGCTCTGCTCTCTTGGGGAGGAGGCAATATGTCTGTATTTGAGAAATATGTAGGGTCAAATAAATACTGATGTGAATGCCTGAAGTCCTGCTTTGGCACAAGTTCCTGTATCAGATAATTAAAATGCTCCTATAAATTTATATAAAGAGAAAACACACTAAAATCCTCTTGTCTGGAGAGGATTTAAACCACATTTTGACATGTCTTCTTTCTACCAGCTCACAGCTGGCGTTCTGCTGGTTGCCAGAGGGCCTGTCATTTTGAAATCCAGTGTCTGATTAAAAACCTATAAATATTTTTATATCCACGCAGGCTCTATTGATGCAGATGTTTTGTATCTTTGTTCATGGAAACACAGCCTGGCTTTCAGCTGCCCCTAAGGCTGCTCCCTTGAACCTGGAGTTCCCCCGTGCCGTGCTCCGTCCAGGTGTGACAGGGGTGACACTGGTTTGGGACAGCAGAGTGTCAGTCTCGGGCTCACTGTTTGATTTTACCAACATTATAAGATGGATAATGACGCTGGAGGCGTGAAGATGAGAGCTGGGAAACACTGTGACTTCCTTCACAGCACAGAAGGAGCACACCCAGCTGAGGAATGGCAGGAAAGTCCTCACTGTGTCTTAAACTGCTGTGGATGAACTGCTGGTCAAACATCCCATGTGTTGGGGCTGGTAGGCTGTGTTCTGAGTGGTGTGGCTCCAGCTAGAGAGTATCCAAAGCCAAGTGCAATTGCACCAACGCTGCAAACTCTGATGTAGCTGTGCCTCTGGGAGGTGCTGCAGTCTGGAGGGTTTGCTTTTGGAATTAATGTGAGGGATCCAGCTTGCAGTCATGATACAAAAATACTTTTCTGCTAGGAACGTGGGGAATCCCATAGGAAACTGTGGCTATCAAACAGAGTTCCCTGAGAGAAGAAATCTCTTGCAGTGAAGACACAATTTTAAAGCTCCCTTACTTTAGCAGATATATTTTGCCCAAAGAGAGCAGTGTTCCTTACCAGCCTCAGACTGTACCTTAGAATGTCACCACTCAACTCAGAGTAAGTTATTTGTGTGAAGATAGAGACACAGAATGTGCACAGTAGCTCAGACAACAGTGACATGCTGTAGACAATCAGCTCTAAGCTTAGTTTTGTACTTAATTTTGTATTTTAATAGAATTGAGTATCACTAAGCATTTTTAATAGGTGTATTTTCAGTATCAGTAATAACAGTGAACTTTAAGAAGAACTCCTTTACAATTTATTTATAAAGAATTATTATTACTGAACTATGGGAACATAAGTTAGTTTCGAGCTGCCCTTAGAAAAGAAATTCATGTTTACTCTTTGAAGTTTCCCTCCCAAAGAGACTGCTCCAACTCTCTGGCAGTTCTTTGGTCCAGGCTTTCCAACATCACCTGCCCTAGGATCACATTCCCAGTTCTCTGTACCTGTAAGGTCAGGTGCTACCAGAGTGAACTGTTGTGTAGTAAACTTACAATGCTGCTCTTTTCTAAGTTGCCTTTATCCTCTAAGTGATTGAGATATTGCACTGCAAGGTCAGCTGCCAGCCCAGCCAGTGCCTGCTGCTAATTCAGTTAATTAGCAGAATACGTGTTTTCCTTGGGAACCACGTTGATTGTTTTCTGTTATTCCAGCCTCTTTGGTGCAATAATTTCGCGGAATGCCGGAGGGGAAGCCCTCGTGTTACACCCGTGAGTGTGAAAAGGTGTAATTCAGTGGTCAGATCCGCCGTCCATTTGTTCTGTTCCTGTGCTCCAGGAACTTGCTGGACGGTGTGTGTTGAACTGGAGACTCGGACTCTGCTTATTCACACCGAGTTTGTTTAAGGCTCTAAATTCCCTTGAGGTCTGAATGGCCGTGCCTGCTGCCAGCGGGATGCGCGGCCGGAGCGGGGGTTTCCCGGTGTCCCGGGCCGGATTTGCCGCAGCTCCGGGGATCAGTTCCCGCATTCCCCGCTGTCACCGCCAGGGAGCGGCGTTTCCGCGGCATTTGGGGCGGTTTCGGGTTTTCTGCGCGTTCTGCAGCGATGCAAAGGCAGGGATGGGGATGAACAACCCCGGCCTCGGTACAAACCGCGGGGCTGAACAACACAACCCTCGGTGTTACCATGGGATGGGGCTGAACAGCACAACCCTCGGTACAACCCTGGGATGGGGCTGAACAGTACAACCCTGGGATGGGGCTGAACAGCACAACCCTCGGTACAGCCCTGGGATGGAGCTGAACAGCACAACCCTCGGTACAACCCTGGGATGGGGCTGAAGAGCCCCGCTGCCCCCCCAGCACACAGGACATTGCCCGTTCTGCTGGACGAGGAACAGTCTTGTACCAAACACGTGTTACCTTTGTTTTGACAAGGGGTGTTTTCTGAGCTGCAGGAAGGACTGTGGACAGCACATAACCAGTGCAGTCAGGTTTCAATAACTGAGTGCCCTGATGTCTGGGTGATTTCTCCAGGTTTCTTTGCCCCCTGCCTTGGCTGGAATTAATACCTGGGTGAACTCTTTAGGGGTTTAGTGTAGAAAATTAAATTCCTCGATTGGTTGGCAGAGGAGCAGCAGTGACCTGCACCATGCTGAGCATCCTACCAGGTCTTCAACAGTTTTTACCTTTTTTCCTAATGAAATGGAAGCAAATTGGTGGGTTTAATTAAAGCTGACTGTTTTTCTCTTACTTTCTTGCTGGTGATGAATGGTAGACACTCTGTAACACCAGAGTGTGGTCCCTGCATGCAGAGTATAAAGCCGAGTCATTAAGAGAGGTGTCAGAAGGCAGAGCCCTCACAGAGAGGGGAAAGAACAGAAGAGCCAAAACTGCAATGCTGGGATATAACAGAAGTTATGGTCTTTTCACTACACTCAAGACAGGCCTCACACTGACCTCTTGACCCACATATATGTTGATCTATGCTCTTTAATTACCTTAATTCACAGTTTGAGTCCAAAATCACTGTAGCTGCCTTTTGCTCTGTTTCTTACTGCTGATACCAATGTATTTTTATTTCTTTGACAGTGCAAAACAGAAAGGTACTAAACCAAAAAGGCAAAATAATTAACAAGTATGTGACTCTGTGATTCTGAGAGCCAGGCAGGAATATTGCCACTTTTTACTGCTTTCTGGTATTGTAATGACTCTGTCTCCAGGAAATGTTTATTGTGCACTACAGAATGGCCATGTTGTTCTTTCAGAGGTCTCCCCTCCTCCACAGGTGACTCTCGTTCACTCCAGGAGCAATCAGGGTATTAAATCAGGGTATTCTGTTGCACACACGAGGACAGGGAGGTGGAGCCCAGTATAAATCACTTGTGGTGCTCTGATGAGACAGTTCTGCCGCACACTCAAACCCTGCCCTTCCTGCAGCAGCCATTCTGCTTTTCACAGCTGACTCTTCTCTTTTTGTCATTTTTGTTCCCCCCACCCCAATCCTTGTTTCTTCTCTGCTTCAGCCGTGATCCCCCTGACTGACTCTGAACACAAGTTACTGCCTTTGCACTTTGCGGTCGACCCTGGGAAAGACTGGGAGTGGGGAAAAGATGACAATGATAACACCAGACTGGCCAAGTAAGACCTTTCTGTAACTTCAGTGTTAAGCAGTAAAATGTCTTGAGCTGTACCTGGTTGGAGTAGTGGGAGAGCTGCCAGGGCTTTGTTCTTGTTCTCTGGTTACATGGCAGAAGACGTGGGTGGGTCTCCAGCTGATGGTCACAATTCAGGCTGCTGTTACACCTCTCCCTGTTGTGAAGTATTGCTTTTTCTTTCAGGCTTTTTGACTGTTTGTTCCTTTCTTTTTTTTCATCTTTAGCTTGATTCTGTCTCTTGAGGCAAAGCTTAACCTTCTGCACAGCTACATGAATGTAACGTGGATACGCATCCCATCCGAGACACGGGTAAGGTCGACTCCCCCTGGCTCCAAACAACCAGAGGCACAGGGCATGGGAGGGTGTAGGGTGGGGAGGGCTGCCTGGAAACACCTCAGTGTCCCAGCAGCAGGGACAAGTCACTCATGGCTCACTGACACTGCAATCAGGCTCATGGATTTATCTGGTTAGTTGCTTTAATAACACAGTTGCTTGTATATTTTTTTGCTGAACTGTATTTTCTAGCTTATTTTTCTGTTACATTTTCCAGTAGTCTGTGTATTTTAAAGAAACCTTTTCTCACCATTGTTTTTTCAGAAGTTTGGCTTGTTCTCCTAACGCCACTGTTTAGTCACCAATCCCAAGGCCTTTCTGAGAATGCATTGGCCCCCCTGGACAGCTCCCAGTTTAGAGTGGCTGGCAAAAGGCCACAGACTGGCTCTGAACTGGAGCCTGACTCTTCCAGAGAGCTGTTTTAGAATCATGCCCAGCTGGCACCTACTCAGCTGCAAATTTCTCTGCAAACTCCATTGAATAGATGGAAGGGTTAGTCTGGAGGCTAAAGGTTGCTAGGAGAGCATGGAGGTGATTTAGGCAGCCTGCACAGATGGGGCTTGAACAGAGGAACAGGACATAAAAGGAGAAAGCATTTAGCAACCTGCAAGAGGGGGAAAATCCATTTTTCTACAGTTTCAACACTAGCAGCTACCACATGAGAAAAAGGAGAGGCAAAATGGTCCTGTACTTGTAAGTGGTGAGTGTGGAACCTGTGGAACCTGGGTTACCTGTCCCTGCTGCCACTGTGATGGTCAGGTCACAGCAGCACTGTCACCTCTGCTCCCAGCTGGGTGCTCAGGGATCCCTGACAGACAGGGGACATAAGTACCCAGGGACAAGAAGCAGGCAGGTATTTCTATACCACAAGTATATACATCTGCAGGTTACCCCTCCCTGAGTCCTTGGGGTTAGTTAAGCATTCCCTATTTATCTCTAGCAGATTTTGGCTTCGTGGTGCCTGAAAGCAAGACTCAGTTTTGCAGGAGTTAATGAACAGAGTCCTGTTTTAAAGTGCCCTAGGATCCATGTTATTGCATTTTCAAGAAAGATGTTTTATCATGTTACCTAAAATATAAAGTGGAACTTGGATTTCTGACACCAGTTTTATCTGCCCTGCATTTCCAATAAGCATGAAAGCACATCATTGTGTTCCTCAGCCTTCTGGCTGAAGTTTGATGTGTGCTGTTCCAGGTGAGATGTTCAGCTCTGCTGCATCGTACCTTTGATTTTCACGCACCAGAGACCCGAGCAATGAAAAAGTCAGTTTAAATAACTTGGGTTTTGAACATAATGGATTTTGAAATATTGCTGCATGCAGGCTTGTGTGCTGTATCCCCCTCAGCTTTCAGCAGCACCTCGTTTCCCTTCCATGGCAATGTCACCAGTTCCCTTCCCTGCTGGCTCAGGGACAGCCCCTGGAGGTGCTCCCTGTGGAGTGGCCAGGCCTGTGCTGGTCTCTGCTCCACAGGAGGCTGTGCCACAGCTCCTCTCCATGGCTCACACACTGTCTGTCACAGAGCCCCCAGTGACTGACCTCTGCTCTACAAATGTGCTCAAAAGGAACCAAAAGCTACTTAGGAACAAGAAAGATACAGAGTAAGAACAGCAAAATATTTTTTATTTGGTGAAGAAACCAGTAAAAAATGTCAGTGTGTAAATTAAAAAATATATTTATAATCAATGTCAAAATATGTATTGAATCTGGGGGGGGGTCTTTTTGCACCAGTTCCTGCATAAAACCAATTTTTCTGTATCTAATTATAATTACTTTTCCATAGCAGGCCCCTTTGGCTCAACCAGAATCCCCTACAGCTTCAGCTGGGGAAGACGTGCAGTCTCTGGCTGACTCAATGGACTCGGACCGAGATTCCATCTGTAGTAATTCCAATGGCAATAATGGCAAAAACAGTAAAGAAAAAGAAAAGGACAAACAAAGGAAAGATAAAGACAAAACCAGGACGGATTCAGTTGCCAATAAAATAGGAAGCCTCAGTAAAACCCTGGGAATTAAACTCAAAAAGAACATGGGTGGTCTTGGAGGGCTGGTGCACGGCAAAATGAGCAGAGCCAATTCAGGGAATGGAAAAAATGGGGACACAGTAGAGAAGGTCAAAGAGAAGAAGTCCAAGTCTCGAAAAGGGAGCAAGGAGGAGTCAGGACAGTCTGCGAGCACGTCTCCGTCGGAGAAGACCACCCCGTCCCCCACGGACAGAGCCAGCAGCTCCCCCACGGACAAGGGCAGCGCCAAACCCTTCCCTGACAAGCAGGCTGACCCCTGGAAGTACAGCACTGACGTGAAGCTCAGCCTGAACATTCTGAGAGCTGCCATGCAGGGTGAACGGAAGTTTATTTTTGCCGGCCTTCTCTTGACCAGTCACAGGCATCAGTTCCACGAGGAGATGATTGGTTATTACCTGACCAGCGCCCAGGAGCGATTCAATGCAGAGCAGGAACAGAAAAGGAAGGAAGCTGAGAAAAAGGCCACACTGAATGGCTCATCTGGTAGGAAACTGGAGCCAGAAGCATATTCAAAAGAAAAATTGGAAACATCTCCTCAGGATAGGGCATCACCCGTCTTGCCTCAAAGCCATACAACCCAGCTGGTTTTAAAGTTCAAAGACCGCACTAGTCCCACCCCCGGGCCCTTCTCCTCCCCCAGCAGCGGTGCCAAGAGGAGTGGCCCCATCCCGGTGTCTGCCCACTACAGCCATACTCCCCCCGTCCAAAGGCAGAGTGTCATCCATTTGCATGACGTCAACTCCAAGCCATCGAGCTTCCAAGACGACACCTACAAGCCAGTGGTGGGCACCTTGAAGACCTGTGCCACCTACCCCCAGCAGAACAGGTCCCTGTCCTCCCAGAGCTACAGCCCGGCCCGGCTGCCCGGGATCCGCACGGTGAACACGGTGGAGTCGCTGAGCTGTGCCCTGCCCGCCGAGCACAAGTCCCAGACCTACACCAACGGCTTCAACACCGCGGACATCAGGGACTGCCTGGAGTACGCGGACGAGGACGCTCCCCAGACCTGGCTCAACAACGACAAAAACCAAGGCAGAAGCACAGTTTGCCCAATCTACTCCATCCAGCAGAACCGCTGTAAGAAGGAGAACTGTTCCTTTTATGGTCGTCCTGAGACTGACAATTACTGTTCCTACTGCTACAAGGAGGAGCTGAAGCGCAGGGAGAGGGACAGCAAGGGACACAGGCATTGAGGATTCTTCCTGACTACTTAGTTTTACCATTTTCTTACTTACAAAGTAAACAGTGTTGGATTGCAGTAAAAGGAATCCTTAAAACAAGAATAAAGGATTGATGAGTAAATAGTGTCTAGCTTTTCGCTTTTCCGGGGCAACGAGGAAATAATAGGATTAATTTATCATAAAAAAATATTATTTTCCATTTTGTCAGTGTCTTTTTTACATATACTGGTAAGCTGAAGGGTTGTTTACTCCTTTGTCAGTGCTGTGTATATGTTTGGTCAAAAATTTACTAATGGTGCCTGAATTTACACTGACATCACTCAGGTAGTAGAATGATAGGGGCAAGTCATAATAACAGAGATGTGGTGTTGTGGTAGGGTAGTGTCTGCCTTGCAGACATTTGAAATGATAGAGTTATTGTGAGAGTCTTTTTTCCTCAGTAAAACCTAAATTTTTCATAGCCTTTTTTTTCAGGAGGGTAGTGATTTTGCATACTGCACATTTGTAACATGGCAGCATATTGCATTGCTACTAATGTTTGTACTTACTTCAGTCTGAAACGGAATGGTTCTGGAAAAATGGGAGTGAAAGGTCTGAATTCATGAGGGCTACAGCTCTTCCTAATTTTAAGTTCTTACCAATTATTTCTACATGTCCATTAAAAAAAAAAAGAAGTAGATTTGAAGCACTTTTATTTGCACTGAATTTTTAAACAGGTTTTATAAAAAAATTCATTATGACTTTCAAGACTTCATGTCCCAAAACCCCCACGTAGTATAGTTTTGGGCACCTGAATTTCAAAAGTATTTTCATTGCTGTTAAAATGCAGATGAATATTAAAATAAAATTAAAATATAAAAATTTTATTACATTTGGAAAATTTGATGACCAGCTAGGAAATTTTGGATCATTTTAGATCTGAATGAACTGCTTGTCAAAACAAATGTAATGTATCAATTTATTGCCTTAGCTAGTGCACGAACCTAATCATTAGTTATTTATTCATTTCTCAGCATTACTGAGTGATAATTCTTGCAAGCCTAACTACGTGAGCCTTTCTTGAAGACTGTTGGCTCCACCTATTTCCAAGTCTTCTCCCAGAGTGAGTCATCTCCACCCAGGAGGTTCCCAGATGGCTGTAAAATACCTCCAGCAGGAATGGCAGCTCCGAGCACAGATTTGCACAAGCCTGATATCCAAATATTTACAGAAGTATTTGCAATACTTTTGAAAATAAAACTTAGCTCACAGAAACGTTTCTGTAAAGAGATGCTGGTGAAGTAGATGAATGACACGAGAAGGTTTCCTTGAAGGTTTTGCCTTCACCCTCCACCATCAGTGGCACAGTGTAGGAACAAGAGCTCAGTGGCTCATTTACTCTCCCCTTACACACGGGGCTTTTATAAGAGCTAATTTTCCACCAGCAGGTGAAGCACTGCCTTCAGGACTTCCTCTGCCACCCAAAGGTGCACAACATGAGTTCTGCCTTCCTCACTGTGGAATAGCACTTTTCTGGCCCTCAGAGGAAAGATCCTTTGCCAAAGAGTCTTTGTTTCTGATTCTTTTTCTGCTGTACCCCAATTTTTGCTCTTAACGTGGGTGGCACCATTTCACTGGTTAATCGGGGTTAACCCTAATCAACCCTGAAACCAAGCCTAAAGTCATCTGCAAAACAGGATGCACAAACTTCTGTTGCCATGTGCTGGCTTTGAGGAAAAGCACATCAGCTTTTTCTGATGTCCCACCGAAATTGGTGGAACTGAGCATATGCTTAAAAGTGACTGTATTTTTAGGTTTTCTGCTGAATGGTAGGTCTCAGAATAAGTCCCTAAAAAGTGAGGGTCTTTGCCATGTTAGGTGTTCCATGAATCCAGACCTGTACTTCACATTCCTTGCTGTATTCTGAGCATACACTGAGTCTCACTGACCTTGCCTTCCTTCCTGAAAGGGAAATGCTGGTGTGTGTTAAAGCTCCGTGTGACTCCTGTCCCCAAGGTAAGCACGTCCCAAACCCCTGTCTCTAGCTGCACACACTGGTGAGCAGTGCCCTGTTTGGTTTGCTGTGATTACACCTAATTTCTAATTGTCAAAGACAACTGGGATTGCAGATTATGCTAAAACAGGCCAATCACGTAAAAAGAAATCAAATATTACACTTGATTGTGTTTGCTGCGGAGACTGAGAAAACTGGCAGGATAAAACTTCACAAAAGCCAGAAATATTTAAGAATTCTTAGGGCATTAGAGTAGCAGTAGCATTTGATACTCTGAGAATCACTTCTGTGTAAAGCTGTGCTTTAGAAATACATTAGCAGCAATCCACACCAGCCTGTGTATTTGAGTGAGTTGTATCTTTCTCAGTGAGGAAAAAAGTAACAGCACATATGTAAAAACAAGCAATTACCATGAGAATTCACTGTTTCCCATTTTTTAAAGGATTTGTTTCTATAGTATGTTTTTAAGATCTCCTACTCGTAAAAGAAAGAGATTTACAACTGGTCAGCATGTAGATAAATTACTCTATTCTAAATTATTGAATACATTGTATGTTAGATTGTTTTGAAAAATTAATCGGTCTTCTGAATAATATCAGGCTTGTCTCTATAGGATACCAAACCTGAGTGTTCATTGTCATCCTCAGGACACTCAGATATTTCCATAAAGATTTACCACTTCTGGATTGCTCATTTTAAAACATGTGTTATATGAAATACTGTCAGAACACCTTTCAGTTGTGCCCGTTTCCTCAGAATCCTTTTCTTGGAATATCTTTGAATAATTTTCTAATTGCTGGTTTCTTTCAGAACTCTCTTCAAATATCCCACAATTCTCTTGTCCCCTAACATTTGCTATTGAAAAGAAGTTGCAGGCCTACAATGCAATTTGCCAGTTAAAATCTACCCGTAATTTCCTGGTAGTTCTCCTTTTTACTGGATATTTAGTACTAAGGGGGGGGGGGTGTTCCTTCTTTTTCTTTCTGAGCTCTTTGTGGCAGTTGTCTGCATAATGCCCCAGTTGGCATTGAGCAGTCCAAACCTGCAGGAACAGTGCCTCCTCCTGAAGGAGTGGTTGTCCCATTAGAAGAAATCTCCAGCTATAAAAGGAAATTTTCTGCCTGTTTTTTTAGAGATAATTCCCAATGAGTTGCATTCACCAGCACTGAAAGAAATTGTGTCATTCCTCAGCTGTGTGTGAGAGGCAATAATCTCCATACATAGTTTTCTGTTGCACTATCTGCTAACCTTTGACTGCTCTTTTGGTTTATTTTTCCTGACAGCTGAAGGTATCTGCAGCCCACAGGCCAGTCAGTCCTTCTTTGTGCCCTCTCTGTGCCCTCCAGACCTTGTGGAGTTACCTCCTAGTCCCAGCTGTACAGAAATCAGGGTTGTTTTGGAGGGACCTGACTCATTTCTTGTGTAGCTCAGGTGGCTGCAATACTCACAGATAGTTTTGCATTTGAATGTGCTTTTTTCCCCTTTATCCTTGATAGTGATTCAACATTTAGCACTGTTGTCTAGATCTCTGCAGTACAGACTAAATACTGGGTAGGCTACACCTTCCCAGAACAGATCCAAAATTACCAGGAGATATGTAGGTTGAGGGAAGCTGGAATTCTTTTCATGTGTGAATGTGCAACTTTTCTAATTTAAGAAAGACTTAAACCCATTATGCAATTTTTTTGGTTTATTCATAAACTCTAATACAAAGGTTTGTAACAGAGGATGCCTGTGATACATAATGGGTTTCAGTCACACTTTATATTAAAGTTCCATTTAAAATGCTTTATAAGGAGTTGATAAACCACAGTATATTTTCAGAGGTGGGTATCAGTTGTAGCATATGGATAACAAGCAGCTCATTCAGAAGAAGGTTTTGCAGGTTATCAAAAGTAACTTCAGGTATTTTGGATTTTAAAAAATTAACTTTTTGTTCTATAAATGCAATGGGAATATTGTCCCAGCTTTCTTTAGCAATTAGTTGCTTCTTCCTAAGTCAAAGGTAACATTAAGGGTATCAGTGAAGGAAAGATGCTGTACTTGAAAAATTTTGTGTTGCTTATTTCTAAAGAAGTCTAAATAGGCCAAGTGAAGTCTTCAGAGTCATCTTTTCTCCAGCTGAACACTGGTGTGAGCAGAGCTCCTGGGTCCAGAAGGACTGAGGAGACCCCCTGGACATCTGAGGCAGGGTCAGTCCTTGCCCGGGGCACAGTCAGGGTCATCTACTTCTCGTGTGATGAATGTGTAGATATCGAAAATGCACAGCACAGATCTGACAAAATACTGCCCTCCAACTCTCCAATTCTGCAAACACTTACACTGGTGCTCAACTCCACCCGCCTGAACAGTCTCCTGACAGCAAGGAGTCTGCTGCTTTTCAGAAACTTCCAGAAAGTGTCAAGGAAAAGCGTGAATGTTTTTATCAAGGCCTGAGCCTTCAGCCAGTGTCTGTTCCCCACAGGCTGCCTGATGTTACTCTTCCAGCAAGAGAATCAATGAGAATTTTGCCTGAGGAGTAGAGGGAAGCCTTAGGCCTCTTTGGGCTAAATCTGCTGTCCCCTGAAATCTGAGGACAGAATCCCATTAGCAGTGGGGGCCTTAAATCAGGTGCTTCATTGACATGTAAAATACTTGCAAGCTGGACATGAAAGTGGAGTACAAGCTCATAAGGGAGTAAGGTCTTCATAACACTGGGAGAGTTTTGCACAGGTGAAAACCCATATGTTAATAGAAACCACAATAATCTCAAACTTAGGTCCAGAGAAACAAAATAACTGATGCTGATTGTAGATTGCTTTTCAGCTTAGTATATTTGAAGTCTCTGTCAGTGTATTTGAAGAGTATTTGTTTTAGAGAATGGCAGCTTACGAGGATCACCAAACATGTATAGCATAGGAGTGAAATTATTTCAGTAACAGACACTAGTATCTATTTTAATTTGCACATGGATTTTCCAGTGTATATGACTAAAACACTGTATTGTTAAAAATAAGAGGAAAAGAACACAAAGGTGTTTGTAAGTATGTTCTATTTGTAGACTTAAGGCTGTATTATGTTGGAATTTTACAAGCCAAGTTTAAATTGTAATATAGAAATTATTTTTATATTATTTTCAAAATACGCTACAGAGCAATATTTTGCGCCTTTATTATAAACAGGGTCATCATTTTAGAGGTTCCTTTCAGAAATGCTGGTAGAAATTAACCGTGAAAAGAAAGCTTTGTAAATGTAATTGTTTCTAACTGCTCTGTCTGTTGTGCACATCTATATCTAATGTCAGTTGAATATACAAATTTTTTTTAATTGAAAAGCTTTAAATTTTTCTTTATATATTTTAGTACACACTATTCCTCCCTATTTAATTCCAGTCCCTACCAACAGCCACTTTTATAAACAGCTTCTGAATAAACATTCATCTAAAAATTTCCTTACCAAATGAAACATTTCTGTGCAGATATTGATTGACTTGGGACATTCATAATACACCCTGAACCCATTACAGTAGGATTAGTTTGCCTTTTTTTTTTAAAAAACAGAATCAGAGATTTATTATTCCTTCAGGATGAAAACCAAGAATGAATAACTTGTGCAATCATTTAGCATCTGTGGGAAGAAAATCACTCAAGATCACAGAAATGCCATCACTGATTGGCAGATACATCGTGTCTTAACAGATCTCAAACATGCATTTGCTTCTTGCAGGTTGAAGGCTTCAGATTTTATTTCTTCATTGTTCTTTGTACTGTCCATATCAATTACTGATGAACTGTGCAAAAAAAAAGACATCATAAACTAATGTATATGCTAAATTAGGAATGTGTGTAGTTTTTAAAATTCCCTGACTTTCGTGGTTTAGTTTGTTGGGATTTACTTGTTTGTTTAAGAATTACTATTAAGGTACATTCAACAACCAAAATGTTCCAATCTGGATGCCCAGTGATTCTGGGTTTGTCCTGGTAAAGAGACTGGGGTTAGGATGTACTGAGCATCAACTCCTGTGGGAAGAAAAGCTCGCTCTTGGTTTCAGAAAATCAAGTGAGCATTACTCCAACACATATCAGGGCCTTTCTTTATTAACACTCTACTCTTCAGTCCATGGAATTTCCATTTCCTCTTTAGTGATTTTCCGCGTGTGAACAAATAATTGGGCTTATTCATAAAGTGATTGAGTATGGAGAGACTTCCCTTGTACCAAAACACCATCTAATTGTTTAACTGTTGCATTCTTAATGGGGTAGTGTATTCCACTGGCTGGGGGGGGGGGGGTTAAGACCTTATTTATTCCTTGGATATCACGGTCACGTTGTTTTGGTTGGTTGGGATTTCTCCTCTCAAGTGAATCTGCTGTTCTGATTGCTGTGTTACCTCCCATTGCCTGAATGTGTGTACTGTGTCAAGAGAATTGAAATGGCTGATGCACATTTGCACTGTGGAACAGGCAATATGGGTAAAAGCCACCATGTTCCAAACAGCCTTAAAATTATGACTCTCTGGGGACTGAGAGTCACTTAACTGGATGCAGCCTCTGTCCCACTTCCTCGTTCCCCCATGACTGTAGAACACTCGAGCCTGCTGTGGTCTGTGTGCACATATCTGAATAACCTGTAATCTTAACATTTCCTTTAAAAAATTGTGACTCTGATAAGTGTCAGTGTGTCAGGAAACCTTAATCAAAAGAGGAGATGGAGTAAAAACAGAGAGAGAATGGTAGCTTGTGGGGTAACCAGGGCACCAAAATCCTAAAAAGAGGGAAAACAGTTAAGATGTATCAAAAACTATTTGCTGTTAAGACTGTAAGTTTTAGAAGTAGATCCTGTATTTTGGGAAAACAGAGAAATTCATCTCTGCATCTAATGTAGCCTCTTACTTTGTTGCAGAGGTTTGCTGTTGGGAAAGAAGGGGGAAAAGGAAGTTTTCTTCCCTTCTTAAAGCAAATTCTAGTGGTAAAATCATCTGAGATTGCAAAACGTATGATCCTATGTTGAAACTAAACAGTGCCTAATTCCTGTGTGTGTTGTGTATTTCATTTGCATTTTGCCCCTTTCGAATTCTATTTCTTTTTAAAAAAGGGGGTGGGGGAAATTTAAAGATTTGGCTTATATGTTAGTGACCCAGTTCTTCCTTTTTTCACATGAAAATGGAATTGCACTTTCCTTCTTGGGCAAAGCTGAGAGATAAAAGCCACCTTTATAGGTAAATTCCATATAACTGCTTTGCCACAGAATGAAGTTAGAAGCCCTTGGCACAGCAGCTTTGCCTGAGGAAGCCTGACAGTGTGTGGGGAGCCTGAGAGCCACGGCCAAAACAGCAGCTCTGGGTCACTGTAAAACAGATGCAGTTCAACGTGGCCCGTGGGGTCTGAACAGCACCTTTGTAGTGAAGGTGAAGTGGAACACTGCTTAATTGCCATTTGCCTCCAGGTTTAAGTAACACAAGGCCTCTTCCCCAGGCTTTTGGTTCAAATATGCAGGAGATGCAGCACCAAACCTGGCATCTCCTTTCCGTGGGTCTGAGCTGACACACAGCCCTGTGGGCAGGACAGGAGCGCTCTCGTCTCTCAACTTTGCCAACTGTGTGCACTTTTAATGCTGACAGAAGTTAAGCAATGGTTTTATTGTTTATTTGCTCAGTATTCTGAGCACTGTAAATACAGTCTTTGTATAATGCCCGGTGTGTGTACAGAACAGAAATGCTTTTCCCCGGGGGCCGCTCAGAGAGCTCTGCATGCACGTGGGGCTGGGCTCTGCTCATCCACCAGGACCAAGGAGAACAAACAGGATTGATGCCCAGACTAAATAATGGATAAAATCAGCCACACAGACTTAAGCAGCCAGAAGTTCCCAGCCCCAGTGTTGTGGGCCAGCTTTGACAGCTTTGTATAAAACTCTGTCCCGGTGATCTAGATTAGGTTTGTGCTCTTCCCTGGGAAGGAGCAATTGCTTCTGTGTCTTTTCCAAGCCCATTGCTCTGAGCCTGCTCGTTCCTTCTGCAGCTGCAGTGTGCCAGGCTGAGCACAGGCAGCTGGGAAGCAGTTTTTCAAATCTGCACAGAGTTCTCGTTTTGTTTTGGAATCCATCTGGAGTTTTCACTTTGCATTCAATTTTAAGACATAAAATACTGTTATGAACTTTTCATAATGCCTTGAAGTTGCCTCTTGTGGGGCTGAAAGACTTTTGTTCTCCTTGGAAGGCCTTGTTCTTCCTCATTGATTCTTGTGACTGACATTTTTGTATGGAAAAAGTTGAATGAAACATTGAGCATCTCAATGCTGTTTACATGTGTTTCTGCCATTTGGACACACTGTGTTGTTAAAGCCAATGCCTCTCAGACACGGGCAGATCTTGAAGGACAGTCTGAAATATTATATACAAAAGGTATTTGGAGTTAATTCATCATAACTTTACTACTGCCAGTGTATCAAATGCCCCCCAAATTTGTTTGTACATCTTTTTTGCTATTGTTAACATTTTTATTTTCATCTTGCAGTTTCTTAGACGAATTCTAAAGCTCTTTGTCCCTAAAGCCTGTAGTAGATTTTCCAATAAAGAAGACTTGGCTTTCTCAGTTCAGTTTGCATTAGAGTGGCTTGTCTCCCCAAACAAGAATTAAAGTAACTCAGATGTCCCACCCTTGGTCTAGAGTTCATTTACTCATTAACTGAGGATCTCTGTTCAAGTATAACCAAAGCTAATTCTGTAAAGTTTAAAATATCAGAATAGGTAATGTGACTCTTTCTAATAAGAACTGCTGGCAAAGTCAGCATTTTTTAACCCACAGAAATGTACAATAAAGGTATTTGTACTTGAAGCCCATATTTCAAAGAAAGATAGTAGTTGGCTGTCACTGGGGCTTAAAGAAATGGTAATAGGGAATAAAGTAAGTCTCATTGATTTTTGCTGGCTAAGAATTCAAATTCTTGGTAGTCTTACTACCCTTCTCATTTTTCAGAGCCTGAGCTTCTTATTGTCTTCTATAAATTTACATTCTCTTAGCAAAGATTGCTTTAGGACTTCAATAAACAATATGATAGCTATTACAGAAATCTGTTTAAAGCTGAAGTGACTTTTCAAGTTTCTTCTTTGACCATTTTCATGCAAAACATTTATCCCATATGAAAGGAGTGAATTTCTCTTTTCTCATTCCCCTCCCTATTCCTAATTTCAAGACATGATTGGTTGCAGTCACTTTTGTCTGCAAAGAAAACAGTTGATCATTTTTAAGCTGACTGCCATCTCATTTAAATCCATTGTTCAAAAGAAACAGGATCATCAATTACCATTAAATGATAATGAATATTTTTTGTTGTGAAAAGTGTGAGTTCTTGAGAACCTTTTCTACATGCTGTTTTCATTCAAATTCAATTTAAGTCATTTTTAATCTGATCCATATTTTGACAAAGATGATGTGTGAGAGCTGTTTTTAGCAGTTGGATTGTTACTTTGTAAAGTATTAAAGCACTAAACTGATTTTTGCAATAGGTAGAAAAACTTGCTTTTGTTTTGAAAAACTTCCAGTATAACTGTCGCACTTTTTATAGCAGAACTGTATTTAATTTCTTTCTTTTATGAAAGATTACTCAAAGTAACTGATAGCTCTGTAATCTGTGTGAATTGGCTTCTCCATTATTTGAAACTGAGAGAAGCTATGATGCCTATTCAATAAAATTAACTTATTTCTAAAGTACCTGTTTGCTGTGATTCCTGTCTGTGCTGTCTGGGTGCTCTCCTGGCTGGGATGCTGCAGCCAAGGGTGAGGGGCATCCTGCAAACCTGGGGCTCTGCTGGCTCATCACCAGCTTGTGCTCTGCTGCCAGAGTTCACTGTTAGATTTCAAATTAAGTTACATGAATTAGATGACTGAGAATCTGAGGCAGAAGGCAGAAATCAGGCACCGGCTGCTCAGCTTCTGTTTTCAGAGCATTCCCAGCTCCTGGGCTCCAAAGGGACGGGACCCTGAGCAGGAGGGGCAGTGCTGCCAGGCCACTGTGACTGCCCCTGTCACCCTCCTCAGGAAATCTCTGCCTGTGTCAGCAGGGAAGGACAAGATGTTTGTCACACAACCACTTTAATGAACTGCAGCGTTTCTTTAGAGAACTCCCACGTGCTGAATAATAACCATAATAACATGGCAACTTGTTCCAATGTTAATTAGCCATTTTTAAAACAAACTTCTGACTTGAATTCGTCTGACTCCAGTTTTAGCCTTTGGATCTCCTTTCACTCCTGCCTGATTGAGGAGTTGTCTGTTGCCCTTGAGGTGCCTGTACCCTCTGAAGGGGCCATCCCTCACCCTCCTGTGTCCAGCTGAGCAGATCCTGCCTTCCAAGGCTGCTGCAAAGGTGTATTTCCAGTCCCTGAAAGATAATATTTCTCATGCCTGTGCTTAAAGTCTCCTCGAGCCTTTTAACATCTCCCCTGATCTGTAAAGACCTGAGTTAGACTGAAAGCTTTTTCTGAAATACACTTCAGCTCTGGTAAGAATTGCTCCAGGCAGGCTGTGCTGCAGGTGGATCAGACAGCCCCTCTGCTGAAACAGTCTCTAATTCTGTT